TTCTTCAACAGTCCCGCCGCTGCCGCCACCACCGAGCTGGGCGTCGAGGTGGCCGAGGAGATTTCGGAGAACTTTTTCGATGGCGGCGGCGATGATACGCTCAATGGTGAGGGGGTTGTGCATCAGCACAACCAGCAGCATCAGCATCCACCGCTGAACCGATCAGTGGTCGTAACGCCGTGCATCCTTCCCATAGCCGCCGCCCACCAGCGCCCAAAGACGACTTACATTGACCTACTGCATGTGCGCCTGGAGAATGTCAACATCATCCAGCAGTCCTCAAAGGGTTTCCTCTCGCAGATTGCCCTCGACACTAGCCAGCTGAAGATTAAGGAGCACCAGCAGCTGACCAAGGCGCAGTACATCAACCTCTACAAGGCAGGTGGTGGTGGTGGTGGTGGGCTGGACAAATCTGCTAAAGACGAGGAAAAGGAAGAAGAACTTCAGGGTGAAACGGATGAGAAGCAGCCCCAGCTTCGGGTTACACTGCGCATCGACGCCTTCAACAAGGGCACTCTGCGCGATGAGATGATCAGCGTGAGGCTGCAACACTTGCCGCTGACGCTGCAGAAGGAGACGATCGACCTGGTAGTGGACTTCTTCAATGACCAGGTGGCGGAGAAGGCCGCCCCCACCGCCGTCCTCCTTGAGGGCCTCACGCTGAAAATTATCGACCGCAGTGTGCGCATGCCGCCGGTGGTCTTCACGGTGCCGCGGCTGAAGCTGGCGAGGAACAAGGAAAACAAGTGGATTGTTGAGCCGGGCGGCGGCGGTGATACACTGGCCAAAGGTAAGTGTGATTTTGTTTTCTACGCTTTTGTTTTTTCTAATTTGACTTTTCAATCTTTATCAATCGTCAGACTCACCGCCGTATAATCAGCTGCTGCTGCACCACCTGAAGGTCTTTGAGCGCAATTTGCTCTTTGACGTGTCTGACCTGATTCGCGAGCAGGACCGCCTGACGGCGGTGGAGAGTCGCCTTCGAGGCGCCACCTCTGATGAGGAGACCCAGGCGCTGGTCGATCAGATTCTCACGCAGAAGGAGCTTCTGCTGCAGGAGATTGAGCTGCTGAGAAAAGCCAATGCCGAGTTGATGCAGAGCTGTGCTGGGGCAGCTGGAAGGAAGTGATGATGTGATGGTGGTTACACTATCTTCCATCTCTACCTTAACACCCCCTTTGTGATACCACCCGTTACTGTTGTTGTTGTTGCTGCTGTTGTTGTTGTTGAAGTTTGACTGCATTTTCCCCTACTATCCTTTTCTTCTTTTCATCCCCAACTTACCAATTCATTCACTCATCGCTCATTGCTCAATCACCGCCGCTCCTTTGCTATTTATTGCTTCCTATCTTCTTTTTATTAACCTGTTCAGAGTTTTATTTTTTATACGTCTTTTACATATGTTTATACCGAGTTTTTCTGCACACCTGATGAGGATACCTTAACCGTCACAATCGTGATGACCGAACTCAATGGCACACAAACTCCCCACTTTTATTGATGTCAACCAAGTTGTTGTTTGCATCACCCAGTAAAGTAACGCCAAGTGATGATTTAAAAAAAAGATTTTTGTGTCACGCTCTCTGTGGAGAAGCTTTAACATGTTTTTGCAAAAAAAGTGTGTTTACACTTTGCATTTAGAAGCGGTCATTTGCGGCCTGCTTGCCGATCTGATCACACCGGTATCTCCGCTGTCCACATTGTTTTCTTCAAGACGATCAAAACAAGAAAAAAGGAGTTGGAACGCATGAAAGATGGGCACACCGATTGATGATAACGTCATTGAGGGACTTCAGNCGATCTGATCACACCGGTATCTCCGCTGTCCACATTGTTTTCTTCAAGACGATCAAAACAAGAAAAAAGGAGTTGGAACGCATGAAAGATGGGCACACCGATTGATGATAACGTCATTGAGGGACTTCAGCACGAAGATGAGGAACCAGGGGTAAGTGGTGAGAGATTTGTGTTTTGTTTGGCTCTAACTTGATTTTTTACTTATTTGTTTGTAACGCCATTTCAGCTTGTAATTTTTGGCCGTGACGTTTCCAAGATTCCATGCTTTCGAAACTCCTTCCTCACCGGCATCTACGGCGGAGTGGGCTGCGGTATTGCTTCATTTCTCGCTACAAGTAAGTGTCACAACTGTTTTTGTGCTTTCAATAGGACTCTTTATTTGTCAATGACAGATATAACAGTAAATATTAGTATATTCGTAGTACATATAGCATTTCTTTGTTTGTTACAAAATAAGGTGTGAGATATTTTCTACAAATAGCTTCATTTGTTTTTGTCCAGGCCGTGCGGCACAGTCGACCCACATTTCGGTAGTTTCATTTACCGTCATCACATTGGGCTTTTGGTTCAACTGTCGGCGACAGTGGGCCAAAGATTACTTTAACATGAAGCAGGCAGAAGACAGCTTTCCAGAGGAGATTGAAGCCATCAAGGCGAGAAAGATACCTAAGGAGCAGACTATTCAGAAGACCAGCTAGGGAAGAGGGTAAAAACAAGTGTACATGTTGGCTTATATTGGCTTGTAAAGGAGCGTCGTCACGTATTTCTTCCGGTAACGATGAATGGCACTGAGAACCATCACGCCGTCCTGCAATCATCGATAGAGGAGAAAAGTTTTTGTACATTAAAATATAGTTTTTTAACATTATGTCTCCCACTTTCTACCGACCTTGATGGAGAGAGCGTACAGATGGTTTAACATCACGTGGTTCGGCTGCGGAAGCAACGTCGGCTCGCAGAAGTTTGTCGAGGGATTGTTGAGAATCACCTGAAGGAGGTGTGGCGGGAGAAAGGGCGGCGCAGTGCTGGGTACACCGGTGTGGCCATCCGCTGAGGGAATCTCCTGCGTGTACGAGCCAGGCGGAGAGCCACTGAGCGTCGGCTGGGCGTTGGCGGCGGCATTGGCATTATTTCCATTGTTGTTGTTGTTGTTGTTGTTTCCGTTGTTGTTGTTGCCGGTATTGTTTGAGGCCAGGTCCATGGCCAGCGCCTCAAAGACCTCAAAGTCTGACTTCTTCACGTTCATCACGTTGTGGGCTTTGTTGTCATCGAGTGGAGCATTTCGATCGACTGTTTCCACACCATCGACGACGAACTTAAACTTGTGGACGCCCTGTGAAGGGAAATGAAAAGAGTGGGGGCAGATGTGAGCAAGATAGGCTGGCGGAAAGCACCGAACACAACAAGCTGCCTGTTCATCAAAGCATAAAAAAACGTACCTCAGGAATGTCGACCACCGTGACAAAATCGCCCTGGCTCTGGGACATCTTCAGCGGCTTCCACTCGGAGAAGGTGCCCGTGACGAAAACTTCCTTGCCGCCACCTTGAAAAGAGCAAACAGGTTAAAACATTTTCAATCATCTCATCTCATCCTCTACACACTTACCCTCCCACTTAAATACTGTCGGCAGCTTTTGATCATTGAATGCGCCGATTCCCTGGCTGGAGCTGTTGAGGTGATTCTGTTTGTTTTGGGTGGGGGAAGAAAAGGGGATAAAAAGTTGTCTCTATGAAGAATCCGGAGAGAAGACCTACCTTGTAGTCCTCAACGGTGTCCTCATTGCCGTAGTCCGTGGAGCCCTGGTAGCAGAGCACCGGCCGCCGCCTGCCCGGGGCAGTGCCTGAAGAGGAGGAGGAGGAGTTGGCAAAGTCGAAACGGGTCTCATCACCGCGAGGCGAGTCGCCGCGGCGGTCCAAGCTGCCGTACAGGTCAATGGCGTAGGGGCGGTCGGAACCGCGTGACTTGGTGGAGCTGCCGCGGCCGTCGCCTCGGCCGTCGCCACCGACACCGCCGCCTGCATTGGTGTTGCCCATGATTTTGGGATGTATGAATGGCTGGTTGAATGGTTGGGTTGATAGCTGCTGCCTTCAAATTGCTGATAACGATGATGATGGTTGCTGGATGTTCACATTACCAAAGGAGAAATAGGCGTTGTGATTGCACTGAAGGCCTGAAGACTGATCGCGTCTTTAGGGACTTTCAGAATGAATAGAAGAGGGTAGATCTAGTGTACGAGAAGATCACTGCGCGAGAGGTGCACTGTTTGGACTGCTGCTGCTGCTTCAGTAGCAGGGCGCATTGGGCGAATGTTCAGCGGCGGCGGCAGCATCAGTAACGACCGCAGCTGCTCTTTGTCTTTCTCTTCAACGGTACGACTGAGGCTGCTGGTGCTGGTGGTGGTATTAAAGCTAAAGCTGTAGCTGAAGATGGTGGTGGTGATGCTGCTGCTGGCACCAACAAGAAAAAAACATAAACAGAAGCAGTCAGACAACAACAGCAGTGAAGAGGTTGCTGCAGCTGCTGCTGTTGCACTGATTAGCAGACGTCAAGAGGAATGATGGGGTGGTCGTCGAGGAGCTGCTGCTGCTGCTTCTTTTGGTGTTTCTTCTTCTGCTACTGCTGCTTCTTCTTCTCCTCTTGCGATGTCTTCTCTGTACTTGATGGCAGTGGTGGAGGCCCTCGAGCTGATCCTTCTGCTGCTGCTGCTGCACAACCACTGTGCTGTGCGGTGATAGTGCTGGCGGTGGTGATGGTAATGGTAATGATGGTAATGGTGGAGGTAATTGAGGGGAACAACAAGGTGTACGGCAAGCGGTGTATGTGCCTGTAGTGTCGTACAGCAGCCCTGTACGACGAAGTCTGGTCATGCCAAGAAGAAAAAGAGAAGGAGAGAAGAGGTGTACGTGAGAGATCAATGAGATGCTTTCCTCGTGCGCTGTCTTCTCTCTCTCTCTCTCTCTCCCCCTTTTCGCATTGAGACATCAAACTTCCTCGTCACATGACCGATAGCGGCGGGCAATTTTTCGGCAACCATTCCCTGGCCAGAAAAGGGAGAGTGATTTTAGTTTCTGTCGCGCATTGTGCGTCAGGCTCAGCTGCTGCAGCACATTTTGTTGATTGTTGAGTGTTTCTTTTTACCTTAACCACCGTCGCTTGCACCTGATTTCAACTTGAAGATGTCCAAAGAGCTAGAGCCGTCGAATAATCTCATCGAGGATCGACCTGAGGAGGAGGAAGATGAAGAAGACGAAGAAGAGGACGATGACTATGATCCGGACAAGGATGATGAAGCTGGAGGTAGGTGGTGATGGTACATTGCATTTCTCTTGACCAACAGTTTAACCTATATTTTCAGGTTCAGAAATTGACGAAGACGATGAGATTGACGATGAACCCTCAAAAAAGTCAGCAGCGAAGGGAAAGACGTTAAATAGTGGTGGTGACAACAATGGCACCAGCAACAACAACAGCTCGGCCATCGAGGAAACCCCTGACGGACTGGTGAAGATTGACGAAGACAAAATAACCCTGCTCTGGAGTGAGTTTTGCAAAGACGATGATGAAAAAGCAGAAGAGAAGCAGCAACCTCCAAAAGTGGAAAAGGAGGTTGTCACGAAGCAGTACGACTTTGCCGGCGAGACGATCACCGTTCAGGAGGAGGTGCTGGTCACAAAGCCTGCTAATTCTAAAAGTAATGACAATCCTGCACAATCAACTTCCACTTCCAACGGCAACTCAACTGTTGGTCCTCCAAACCGCCCGTCATTTAAACGGCCCACTGGCGGCCTGTCCGGCATTCTGGGCGCCCTGAAGAAGCCGAAGATGAGCACGCTGACCAAGTCGCTGCACGACTGGAAGGACTTCAAGAAGAAGGAGAACCTCGAGGAGGAGCTCGGTCAGCACCGGCGCAGCAAGGACTCCTTTCTCGAGCGGCAGGCCTTCCTCGGGCGGACTGACCTGCGCGAGTTTGAGCGTGAAAAGTCGATTCGCGACCACGAGCGCAAGGTGCGCGAGCAGAACAGCAAGCCGAAGCCTTGAAGAACACGATAACGCAACACTTAGGACTTTACAATGTATTCAATTATACCACACCAAAATATCCACTCGAACACTGCTGCTGACCACCACCACCACTACGAAACTGTATTACTCATCTAGTGAAATGAAATGGGAACCACCTCGAAACCTTTTTCCAGCGACCGAGCCATATCACTCGTATACACTCAAAACCGAGGTGTGGGTTTATTATTTACAACTGTTGAGCAACAAAAACAAAAGCAGTGCATAGCACTCACGCACTGCAAGTGGACAAGCAAAGACCTCTGAACGGGTGGTAGGTCTCTCTGGGAAGTTGTGGCACTTTTTTACTCTTTTGTGTGTTTGTGTGGGATCATCTGCGACAGGGCGTCAGCAGATTCTTCTCAGCTGGCGTCAGTGCAAACTGGTGGTGATGAGCATGGTGATTGTCTGGGGAGGAGGAGGCTGCTTCCACGCCACCGTCGTGAATGACGAAGATGACATCAGAAGTGCCCAGGGATGCAGTGTGATGGGGGTGATCTTTGGCGCAAAAGTATTCGAGATCCTTTGAGGACTGAGGTGAGTTGTGATGGCGGTGGTGGCCAATGCACGGGGGAATGGGCCTGTAGACGGTTCGATGCGCCGAACAGCACCGACTCTGAGTGGCGCAGACGAGCACCACAAAGGAGGAGGTGATGATGTAGGCGAAGAGGGAGTACAGCAGCGAGTCGCCGACGGTGGTCTGCAGACCGAGGAGGACGGTCATCAGGGCGACCAGGTAGAGCACTGGGTTTGGGGAGAAGGAGAAGAATTGTTGACAAATTATAGGCAAATCATGCAGGTCTTACCGATTGCATACTGCTGCAGTGACTGTCGTCGTTTGCTCTTTAGGAAGCGCTGTCGAGAGGAGGAAGAAGAAGAAGTTTGAGGGTCATCGTTTTTGGAGGAAGCCTGCAGTACGGTCATCGTGCCTTCATTCAAAAGAAGTGCAGTTGAAGTGTTGTACGGCTGGACTGAGCTTGCTTCCTGATGAGTAGTACAGGTCCAATTGCCTCTTCAGCACACAGTGGTCGTAAAAGCTCACCCTTTGCCTGCTGCTACTGCCGTTTCTGCTTCTGGCAAAGTGCTTCGCTGATGGCCGTGATCACCACCACCACCAGCACCACCAAGAGAAGCACCACCGGCAGCAGTCATCGGCGGCGACGAGAACAAGAAGTGCAGAGGTTTGCACTCTTTCTCTTTCTGCTGCTGCTGTGGCTCGATCGATTGGCTCTTGATTAATGCTACATTAATGCAACTACAGCAACAGCAGTGTTGAAGGAACAGTGAAGGAAGCGACTTTGAGCGACTGTTGATTTTCGCTTCGGAGCTGATATAACCGCCGAGCCACGTTGTCGTACAGTCGAGCACTGCCGTCGGCTTCTGCTGTTATCGGCCACTGCTTCGCTGATTTTTTGCCGAGCGAGCTGGTTAATTTGGCTTGACTTGCTGTTGTGTAAAAAGGTCCAAACTCCAATCGATACTGCTGACTGTGTGCAGACTGTTTATCCGGCGACTGTTTTCGGAAGATCTATCTATCAAAGTTCTCTAATTGCAACAGAGTTTCAGCGTCGTCTTCAGCCCTCTTCAAAAAGATAAATCAACAGCAGACATTGAAATTTCAATTTTCAGAACGAAAGATATCCGGTAATGGTGCTGGCGGTGGTGGTGGCAGTGAAAAACAATGGCCATTAAACTTCGAGTTTTTTGTTGTTTACCACTACGGTACTTTTCTTTTCTCATTCATGGCTGTTTTTCATATTTTCTTTTCAGCACTGCTGAGTACTGTTGTATCGATCCACCGAGCAGCAGCAGCCGTTTTCTGCAGTCTGGTAGCTGTACGAAGCAAAAAAGTAGTTTCGATTTGTCAGCTGTTTGCCCTTTTAAAATTATTGAGTATTTAGCTGTGTGGTTCTGTTCAGGTGTGTGGGTTGAGCTTCTGGTCTGGTCTGGTTGACTGGAAGTTTGAAAGAAATCGATTTTCGGGGAAAAGCAGTGAAGCAAGCAAACTGACTGAGCTTGACATTTGAGAGCAATGGGAGCAGTGTGATCCACTTTGCGTGGATTGTTGTTGTTCGGTGGCGACGGTGTGTTGGAGTTCACTCGACGATGCTTTACAGCTTTGAGCGCAAGTTGAGCGTGACGGTGTGGCAGTCAGTGTCAGTATGAATGATTGTTGTTTTGCCTTTTCTATTATTCAACAGCAGCAGCAGACGGCGGCGGCTTCTCTACGGCTTTTCAAGGCCATCAAAGTTGGCGACAACGGCACCACCACCATCACCACTGTGACCACAACTGATCACAACCATCAGAGCAGNCTTTTCTATTGTTCAACAACAGCAGCAGACGGCGGCGGCTTCTCTACGGCTTTTCAAGGCCGTCAAAGTTGGCGACAACGGCACCACCACCATCACCACTGTGACCACAACTGATCACAACCATCAGAGCNACAGCTTTGAGCGCAAGTTGAGCGTGACGGTGTGGCAGTCAGTGTCAGTAGGAATGATTGTTGTTTTGCCTTTTCTATTGTTCAACAACAGCAGCAGACGGCGGCGGCTTCTCTACGGCTTTTCAAGGCCGTCAAAGTTGGCGACAACGGCACCACCACCATCACCACTGTGACCACAACTGATCACAACCATCAGAGCAGTTGGACTGAGCAGTTTGGTGTGTGTTTGGCATTGCTGTATCCGAAACTGTGATTTGGCACATGAAAAGCGCTGGACGCTGAAGTAGCCGTTGTTGAGCTGTCGAACAGGGAGAAAGTGATGGTGAAAAAGTACTCATCATCGCAGGGATCTGCTGCTGTTGTTTTGGCGTTTCATTGCTTTTTCATATCGATCGATGGAGCAAATCATTACTCACCTGAACTGTTCAGCCCATAGCAGTATTCCGGTGCAGAAACACCAAATGGAATTTTTTGTTTTGGAATAGCTTTTGAGCACTTGTCATTTTGAGTAGGCGGAGGCGTGGATTTTATAGTTTCGTCCATGTGTCATTTCGGCGACATGTCCAACCGTCGCAAGTTTGTTGTCATCATCAGTTTTCGGTAGTTTGGGTAGTCTTTTGGTGGGGAACTTTTGTCAGTATTTCTCATTGATTGATCTCCTTCTTTTAGTTCTTTAACCGATCTTTACCCTTCTCTTCGTCCGGATGAAAGAGAATGGTCGAGCCGTCTGTTTATCATCATCACCACCACCACCAATCGGCGAACATGAACTCCAGTGGCGGCGACCAGACCAGCAACTCGGTGATGATGATGAAACTGAGTCAGCTCAACTTGAAAGGAGACTCCTCCAGGACGTCCCTTCCAAATGGAAAAACTTACCACGCAGTTGAGCAGAAAAATGTCAGCAACAAACCGTTGAAATTCATCCCGTCCATTCCCGACTCATACTGCTTTGTCGATGAGAACTTCCACAGTGACGCCTTCAGTGTGGATGGCTTCGTCAAGCGCAACAGCAAACGCGTCCACTCGCTGGAAAAGCTAAAGGAGGAGCTGACCTCCTACCAGAAGCTGCTGAAGCACTCCATGGTCGAGCTTATCAATGAGGACTACACGGA